CGTACACACACAGGCTGGGTAAAGACAGATGAAACTAATGTAAAACAACCGTACCATTTTCCAGGGCATCGCTGTTTGGCCAGTGCATTCTTGCCTCTCTCTAGATCTTTCCAAAGAGAAGCAGACCTAATTCAATGAAAAGAGGGTCCTGGGAGATGACGTTCATAGGACAGTTTTCATTAACTCTATACTTGGCAGTGGCTTTTCAGAGGCTTTGAGATGACAGTGAAAATACCATGATTGTCATTCCCAACTAGCTATGAGACACTTCGCAACCCAAAGCTCGGTCTTCTCAGACAGTATCTCTATCCAAGAGCGGTTTGTCATGTTACTGTAACAACAACTAGGTTTTGCTGTACAAGCCAACAGTGGTAATGGGCCACTTTCAGTGAGGATGGTAAGCAAAGCAGGACGGTGAAAAGAAAGTCATCGCTACCCAGAAATCCTCGCCTCTCCTCAGGTCTCAGGCTTATTGGCTATAAAATAGAAACAGAATAGCACACTCCTCACAATGTGGTTTGGAGGCTCCAAAGAGACAATTCAGGTGAATGGCCTAAGATATGACATGGGGATGCTGGCCCTGGGGACCACAGGATGTGGGTAGTCTGTCTCCTTTAACATAGCCACTAGAACTGGTGTTGAGAAAGAAAAATAATTATGTTTCTGGTGTGGAACTTCCCCCTGAATATTTTTGTTAAAATAGAAACTATACAAATAGCCAGTTCCAATAATAATAATAACAATAATAATAATAACCACTGGAGAATTTCTGATATTTGGGGTAAAGAGGGAGTGAAACCAGAGGCCTCACCGTGACCGAAACACCAAAAGGTGGAGTCTGTGATGACTGGCCAACCTACTCCAGGTCCCACACGAGAGGCTGGCAGTCCCTGCAGACAAGGGTCCATCCAAAGGCCCAGCTAACTTCTGGGCAATGCCTGGATCAGTAAGTAAAGCCGAAATAACCGCCAACCATCTTGCCAGCTGGCTGCGGGTATCTAGCCCAGCCCAGCAGAGTATCCTTAACTGGCCCAGATCACAGACTCCCCAGCTGGCCATGGGACCACAGCGCCTAAGCAACCAAGCTTTCAGGAGGCTTTGTCACACAGAGCAGCTGAGACCTCCTTCCAGAGACCTCACTGCGCAGATGAAATGTCAAGTCTGGACATCTTTCTCCTCACCTCTGACTCTAAATGGTCATCCCTCACTGAGATTCCACATCCATATGCTCTCCTCTCAGAACCCTCCATGGCTCCCTAGGATCAGGTCTCACCTGAAAACTCCATCCCTTCCAGATAGACTCTCAAGCAGACTCTAGATGTCTCCTGTCACTCACCAAAGCTCCTTGAGGACCGAGCCACAAGCTTGGCACTGCTGGAAGGGGGGGGGCTTAAAGAACCCCTGGTCTCAGCCCCAGCGCTCCTCTCCTTCCACTGGGACACCGTCCTCCAGGCCCCTCTTCCCTGGGCAACAAACCTGCCTTCACTCGCTGAGATCAGG